AAACAAAACAAAACAAAAAATTTCATATAAGATGTGTCATTCTGAGCATAACTTTTCCCTTCCTTCCTATCCAAGCAGATGGCAGGTTCTGGGTTCATTGTCTCAGGACAAGTGTTACAGGAAGGAGATTATACTATGTGTCTTTGAATCAAATCCATCTTGTGATAAAACAGAGAGCCTCTGAGGAAAACCAAAATGATGTGTTTTCCTTAGGGTTCCATCCTGGGCAGCCTAATTGGATTTGGGTGCAAAAAATGTAAAATGCTGTCTAACTTTAACCTTCATCAGCTTGACTTTGTACAACAGTTGCTAGGGTCTTCTTAGGCTGGTCAGTGGCTCCAATACTTAAAACCGTAAAAGCGGTGCTTCAGTGTGTTCCATTGTTTCCTCAGTGGTGAGTTCTCCGAATTTGTTTTCTTCCGGCACTGACAGGTGATCCGCTTTGCATTGAGACCCCCTGGCTGAACGGCTAGCCGTGCCTGCTTGTGTGGCCTCACTAAAGGAAGAGGCACACTGTTTTCCCAGCATTAGGGATGAAAACGGTGTGCTGCTGAGCAGTGCCTGGTGGCTGCTCTTCCAGACTTGGTATTCTTATCCTCGCTACTACGGGAAACATGTTCTCTCCAGCCCAGAATGGAGGGTGTGATGGAGATGCCTGTGTACATGGAGATGCATAGGCATCTGTTGGCTTGGCTGCTCCCCTACAGCACCCCAAGGCCTCCCCTTGTAAGTTGCCGCAATAAGCCCCCTCCTGCTCCTGGATGCCACCTCTTGCAGCGAGGCGGGCTTCTTGGCAGGGCTCTCTCCTTTTATGGTAGTATTGTCCCATGCCTGCTAGCAGCGTGTTAGGCTGCAGTTTCCCTCTTCAATATGATCTCGTTTGTTTTCATTTTCTCAGAAATTTCTTAGTTTCAGATCCACCAAGGCTTCTCTTTCTTGTTTTGATTTTCCCAATGTATTTTCCTGTTCTTTTTTTTGCTTGCTTTGTTTCTGAGACACAGTCTTGCTCTGTTGCACAGGCTGGAGTACAGTGGCACAATCTTGGCTCACTGCAACCTCTACCTCCCTGGTTCGTGATTCTTCTGCCTTTGCTTCCAGAGTAGCTGGGACTACAGGTGCCCACCAGCATATCTGGCTAATTTTTTTTTTTTTTGTATTTTTTAGTAGTGACGGGGTTTCACCATACTAGCTAGGCTGGTCTCAAACTCCTGACCTCACGCTAGCCTCACCCTCCCTCCCAAAGTGCTTGGATTACAGGCGTGAGCCACCATGTCTGGCCTATTTCTCTGCTCTTAAAAAAAAAGTGTATCAAGATAATAAATACTAATGCTCTTACAAACAGATATGGAAATACTTGAGTTTATTCTTTAGTATTTTATTCTATTTGCTGGTTTCTATGGTTGTAAACTGCCACAACGCTTCTCTTTCATAGTATTAGAAGTTCTACTTGTTTTTTTCTTTTTTTTGAGACGGAGTCTCACTCTGTCACCCAAGCTGGAGTGCTGTGGCATAATCTTGGCTCACTGCACCCTCTGCCTCCTGAGTTCAAGTGAGTCTCCTGCCTCAGTCTCCTGACCAGTTAGGACTACAGATGCCGCCACCGTACCTGATAATTTTTGTATTTTCAGTAGAGACAGAGTTTCACTATGTTGGCCAGGATGATCTTGAACTCCTGACCTCAAGTGATCTGCGCACCTCAGCCTCTCAAAATGCTGGGATTACACGTATGAGCCACCATGCCTGGCCTCTACTGGTTTTTTAAGTAAAAAAAATTCCTGATTCTGCTCTCACTATACCTACACACACACACACACACACACACACACACACACACACACACACACACACACAAAGTACTCCTCTAAATACAAAACTCCCCACAATTACAGTTGAAAAATAAATGTTTTATGGTCAAAATCTCTCACTCATGGAAACAGGTTTGGATTCTCTCTGTTCCCATCACCCTCTGCTGGAATTTATAAGCTTAACAGTTACTATCTGAATTACTAACCGTGTGTATGGGCATAAACCCACAGATGAATTCAAATAATCTTCAAGAGTCTGGACACAAAACATAGTCTAAAGTTTCTTGTAAAAAGAAACTGTAAATCTGTCTTCATCCCTAAACTTTTAGTAACTAAACACAAAGGGTGAAGTGAGATGTAAGACCCCAGAAGTCAGATAAAGGTCCATGGGTATCTTGAGCTCAGAATAACGCCTAAGTGTAGCAAACTTAATTATGAGGCTTATTCAGCTGCACAGCACGGTAATACCTCCCTTATCTGGTGCTCCTTTTGCAACCTCAGATTATCTAGTATACAGTTAAAAATTAGATTTTTTTTTCTTAAAAAAGCCTTTTGGCCACACAGTGATTCACACCTGTAATCCCAGCACTTTGGGAGGCTGAGGCAGGCGGATCACGAGGTCAGGAGATGGATACCATCCTGGCCAACACGGTGAAACCCCGTCTCTACTAAAAATACAAAAATTAGCTGGGTGCGGTGGTGCATGCCTGTAATCCCAGCTACTCGGGAGGCTGAGGCAGGAGAATCGCTTGAACCAGGGAGCTGGAGGTTGCAGTGAGCCAAGATCCCACCACTGTACTCCAGCCTGGAGACAGAGTAAGAGTCCATCTCAAAAAAAAAAAAAAAAAAAAAAAGAGGAAAAAAAAAGCCTTTCAAGAGGAAGAATACCTGTCACAGCTGGGCACAGTGGCTCACACCTGTAATCCCAGTGCTTTGGGAGGTGGAGGCGGGCTGATCATGAGGTCAGGAGTTTGAGACCAGCCTGACCAACAGTGAAACCCCATCTCTACTAAAATACAAAAATGGCCAGGCGTGGTGGCTCACGCCTGTAATCCAAGCACTTTGGAGGCTAAGGCAGGTGGATCACCTGAGGTCGGGAGTTCAAGACCAGCCTGACCAACATGGTGAAACCCCATCTTAAGAAGGAAAAAAAAAAAGAAAAAATGAGCTGGGGTGGTGGTGTATGCCTGTAATCCCAGCTACACAGGAGGCTGAGGCAGGAGAATGGCTTGAACCTGGGAGGCAGAGGTTGCAGTGAGCCAAGATTGTGCCATTGCACTGCAGCCTGGGCGACAGAACCAGACTC